AAATGTGGCAATCACAACCAGATGTTGTGTTGCCATGTTATCAGTCTCTGGTAGCTAATTTTCGTCCTGCTTTGATATAGTTGGACCTTCTCGGAGGGGGGTTGGGTTAGGGAGGGTGAGATGAAATGCCAGTGTGGAAAAACCCTGATTCTGAAAGATGTTTATGCCATGGCTCAGCAGTGCTTAATTGAAGTCTCACAGCAGTAGGTCCTGCCCCACTGGCTTGTTGTTTGAAGTCCTGTGTCTGTGATGCTGTGCTCCCTGCCCTCCCAGGCGCCAGAGAAGCGCTGTCACACCGGCCAAATGTATTTGATTCCATCTTGGTTTCTGGGGTTTTCAGTCCATTGGCTGCCAATAGTTGACCCACCCTTATTCTCCACCCCTCTAATCCTCTTCCCTCTCTCTCTCTCCTCTCTCTCTCTCTCTCTCCTCTCTCCTCTCTCTCTCCTCTCTCTCTCCTCTCTCTCTCTCTCCTCTCTCTCCTCTCCTCTCCTCCTCTCTCCTCTCTCTCTCTCTCCTCTCTCTCTCTCTCTCTCTCTCTCTCTCTCTCTCTCTCTCTCTTTCTCTCCCCCCTGCTTGGCTGTAGTAGGATTACAGGCTCCTCTCCCATTGGCTAACTCTTCTGTCTCTGTGTTTACTGCTATTACTGTGGGATACAGGGAATTTGCCCACTCCTTCTCATGATTAGAAAATGACACCCATCTTAATGATGCTCTTTCATTTTTAGAAAGGCGTCTTCTGGCTTTACAAGTCATTTGTATGCTATTTACATGGTGTTTAAATATGTTATTTTTGGTGCATATAACTCTATTTACGTTTGTCATACCCCGCAGTCTTTACACCACAAATGTAAAGCATCTGGAGAGGTTTCCTAACTTGAGAGGCGGGTGTTTTGAGATGAATCGTTCCTGACTTGTTCGGGACAATGTTAACGTCCAGGATCATCCAGTCTAGAGACGCTCTCTGTTTTTCCACTGCTTCTGCACACTCACTGTCACATGGCATCCAAGCTCAGTCAGAGTGTACTATAGTAGGAAGGCCTTGGATGTTTGTGATTCATGAATCAGCTGAAGGAGCTGCTAACCTATTGCACAACTGTTGTGCAATACTAAATTAATGAGAATGTCTGGCTGGCTGTGTTTCCAAACAGCATAGTACTAGACAGCTGGTCTGAGTTCTTGCAGGAGTGATTGACATAAAGAGTGTGTCTGGTTTTGAAGAACTGCTCCACATCCTGGCTTCTTGGAACATGTTCTGGACTTTGCCTGAATCCACATAACCCAGAACACTCTTAAGTAGAACCAGAACAGCGGGAGAGGACAGCCCAAGCGTCTGCTCTGGGTTTTCCACTGTGATGCATTGTGATGGGCTGAGGTGCTTTGCCACGTGCTGTTTGATTATGCATCCCTCCCTTCAGAACCTTCTGGCTCTGGTCTTTTCACACTGAGGAGCTGGGCTATTGACTGCTGAGCGTGACGGTTCACTTTAACACAGATCACTGTGCTGGCTAGCTGGCTGACTGGACAGATCAATAGACTCACTGCAGTCAGAGTGGGCCCCTGGGAGAAGAGGATATAGCAGTATAGTAGTAATGTCACTTTGCTGAACAGGAGGATCTGTCCTCTCCTCCTGCTGCTGAACAGTGACAATGAAACTTGAGGAGGAGAGGGGACCTATTAGGGCCTGTCTCCTGGGGTCTGTTTAAATGAATAGTCTTGTTTAATAGGCTGAGTGAGTGGATGACTAAGTGAGTGGATGTACTGCTCTGAGGGCTTCATCAGTGTAAGACACTAGTCATGTCTTCAATGGACTGAAGATGACCTTAGTGCTATGGAGCTTTCTGGAAACTCATCCCAGAACTAGTGATTCAGTGGAAGTATCAGTGGATCGTGGGATTATCGGCTCCAAATAAGTATTTCTTAGTTCACAAGATTGGAGTTTCCATGTGTGTGTGTGTCTGAGAAAGTGCCTCTGTGAACTGCAAGTTCGTTTACATAAGGGATGCTCGTCATGTCATTGCTGTTTCCCTGACTCCCATCCCTGCGGAAATAGTTTAGTTAACTCCTCAATCCTTCTCTCTCCCGCTGGAGATTAATCCAGGTTCTCCCAAATAACTTCACCTGGAGGTGAGACCCAGAGCCAAGTCTTGAGCAGCAGGAGGGTACAGGGTGGGGGGCTGGCTATCTGTACAGGGGCTGGAGAGGAAAGGAGAGGCAGGCTTTGGGGCTTTGGGTCTGCAAGGGTGACGGCCGGGCAAGCTGAAGACCCAGTTTGTGCCGTGTGGGCTGCCTGATGGTTTGATGTTTTTCACAATAGGACGGGTTTGAGGACAGGGCTGAAGTGGTGTGGAAAAGCCCAGCTGTAACACACTGGGCAGGCAGGCATGCGGGCTGAAGGGTCGTGGCTGAGACGCCAGCTGGAAGAGAGAGAGAGCTGCTCTAAAACGTCTCCCAGCACGCTGAAAAACTGCTTTTCTTCACCAGTCAACAGCCCAGTTCAGCCATGAAGGAAAATATGGCCCTTTTCTTGAAGGAAAGCAGGGGTGTTTTCTCTGTAAAATCTATTAATTCACACCAACACTGACATTTGCCGTGACTTGTTTTGAGAATTACGTTTATACAGTTATGATGACCTACCTTCTCAGTCGTAGACCCAAAATATTTTCTATAATAATTTAATTAGTTTACCATTAGTCATATTTTTGAGGACTTTGTACTTTCATATTGCCATTGTAAGACATTATTACCAAGAATGATGTACCATTCATTTGTAGTCTTAACTTTGATGGGAACCACCATTCACAATGCGCCCCTAGCTATGCTGTCCTCAGCAGCACCGTGTTAGGCTAGTCCAATGTCCTCCATGGCTGCTAGCTACAGCAACAAACTAATGGTTTATTATTGAAATGAATCATACTGAGTTAAAGTGGCTGACTAGAGCACAGGCGTAGCACATACATATTCTGTCACTGAAATGTAAACTCCATGAAAACTTCCACTCTCTGTGAGGAAATGGCTGTTTCATGTTTCCTATTACAGCACATTGGGTAACAAGCGTAGATAGATATCAAATGGAACTACTATTATATAATCTTGTATAAGCGTGAATAACACAGTTTTACAGGGTTTAATGTCAGCCCCAGGTGGGCATACAGGGTGGCATTGTGTGTGATGCTGAGTTTGGCACTGCCACACATGGAGAGAGATGACCCATCAGCCATTAAGCGCTTCAATAATAACTCCTGTGCGTGTGTGTCGAACAGGTGAATGGGCCTTTTGAATGAAGGGTTAACTACCAATAAAGATCTGTTTAGATTATACCCCCTGTTGTAGTAACGGGTGCCGTTGTCCCCAGAGAGAAGTAGAAGACACTCTGTGCTCTATTTCTGTATTGATTTGATATTTTGGGTTTGAAAATAAACACACAGGCTGGGGGCGGTCAGGGAGCGGGCCTTTCATTCTGCTATTCCCCGCCCTTTACTCTGATGAGTAATAGTACCCCCTCTAAGCCCCTCTCCTGTGCCCCGTCTCCATCATCACCCCTCTGGCCAATGTGCCCATTAACTTTAACTGGCATCCAGGGCCGGACGTAGCCAAGACTTATGCCATGTTAATGATATCTGAGTGAGAGTGACTAACAAAATCGATTGGGGCCCCCTGGAGTTCAGGGCCCCTGGGCACATGCCCTGCGTGCCCGGTTGGTATTTGGCCATGATTATTACAAGTTTAGATAGCTGGCTAGACTAACTTACCAATCTAAAAATTGTTAGCTGACATGGCTATGAGTGACTGTCAGTGACTGATAAACAAGAGAACAACTGCTGATGCACAGCCAAATTTCGAAATTGCGTATTCCAGTATTCTAACTCTCAACAGTAAAAAACTGAAAAAAACCTGTATATAAAGATAAAAGAGATGTGTCCCTCCTTCACACTGACATGCATACTTTCTCATGTACAGAGAGAGATATGAACATAACTCCAAAAACACCACTTAAAGTCTGGGTGAGGGAAGAGAAAGTCTCTAATAGATTTTTCTCCTTTCACCATTTCTGTCTATAGCCCATGTAATATCTGACCCTGGACAGTCAGTGAGTGACCCTGGATAACCTGCCAAGAGTTGGTCATCTCAGTCTGAGAAGGTTTGCCTCGTGCTCAAAGGAAAAGAGGAACAGTCAGATTTTCTGAACAGGCTTAGTGCGCCCTCTGCAGTTATGTTACATATCCTACACTCACAGTCATCAGTGAATGATTTTCGTACAGTAAGTAGCCTGTTACAAAGTATCAGTTCACATAATAGGCCTACACACCTACAGAATAAAACCTAACATCTATCCAAAGCAAGAGATACACAACACAGTTTGCAGGCTCTAAATATTTATTTTTCATTCATTTCCTTTTTTTCTTCTTTTACGAGTAACTTTAAGAAGTTTAACAGTACCAACATCTGCATGGACTTTGATCCTGATGATAAACAACATGAAATGGTTCTTACTTCACCACGGCCACATCACTATTGTCATTCATTAACATGCCAACACAACTCACTCACCCAACCATGATCTAATAAAGATAACATACTATTGAGCTGTGATCTTGATTGATTTGATGATTGTAATTGTCAGTGAATGGTTAACATAAAGAACAATTCCTGATCAATTATTAATTGTATGCATCATATTCCCAGTGTGCATTGTGCAGAGGTGGATAAGAGAGAGGATTGGCTGGCTGAGTCAAAGTCCATCTTTGGGTTACTAGTGTCTAAGTAACAGCCTCTACTTCATATTGTGTTCATATAGTAGTACGGCCTGGATGCACCAACACCTGGTCAGGGGTGTCAAACTCATTTTGCCCCAGGGGCCGAATTTGCTCTTCAACTAGGTTCGGAGGGCTGTACTGAAAATGTGTTGTATTTCCTCGCCATCAAATATACATAAAAACGTTTTAAAAATGTTTGATGCTCCCTGACTGTCTAGCTTTCATTTCAGTGATGATTAGCGAGCTGGACACAGTCAAGAAAATGTATGAATGTAGGTCCATTATCATTCCTACTCAGTTTCAATTTGGTTTTAGTCAATTTAAAGTATTCTGAGTTTGTCCCCCCACCCCAAAAAAACAAAACATTTTACTCAAACCAACCGCGGGCCGGATTGGATGTGTGCATGTTTACACCACACAGCTGTTTTTCTCCTCTCTGGTTGAGTAGCTGCTGCTGCTTGGTCTGCTTCTCAGAGGCAGGTGTGGACAGGAGCCATGGGCATGCCGTGGGCAGACTCTATGGGCATGTCTGCCCCCTCCCCATGTCTGTACACCTCAGTGCCAGTCTGTGTGGGCACCAGAGGCACCACTGGCAGAGCTGTTGGAGAGAGACAGGCATCAGACTGGCATTACACGCACTGAGACTGAAACCGCATGGCTTTTACTACAGGTCCATAACAGTACTCTTTCAGTACATTAAGTTACTGTTGGTGAGCTAATCCCCTAAAAAAGACACAAAGGTGATAATTATAGGAATATTAATGATGGGAGACAGACATCAACATCCCTCAGGTGAGCTCAGAGCTGTAGGGACTGAGCCTGACGACCAGGCTGGGGAGAGGGCCCTGGTTCCTGTGAAGCGAGGCTGGGTTAGAGGGCCTGAAACAAGGGGAGCAGTCTGGGCCATGTGCCCCCTGTAGGGCCAGGCTGGCTTTGTGAGGGTGATAAAACACTGGGGACGGTGAGATCACTGTGTGCTATTTCTCTGTTTTGACAGCGTAGGGGCATTACTCAGGTAGTCTCTTTCCACAGCTGCGGTGGAGCACCATGAGGCTGGCGAGACAGACTATTACTTAGGAGCACCATGCTGCTTGGTGTTGTGAGGAGATCTCAGTGAAGCAAACCTGTTGACTCAGTCTGGGACACAGGCAGGAAACCAGCGTCTGAGGTTTCACGCACCTGCTGCACCGCTAATTACAGGTGTGTGTGTGTGTATAAAAGTGTAATGCAAGGTGATTATGATGTATTTGTTTGCTCTAGCTAACTAATGCATACTAGTACACAATGTATATGGACTTGGGGGTACTCACAGCTAGGGACAGGTAGGATGACTGATGTGAAGTTGCTAGGCAACCCAACATGGCCTCCTAGTAGGTCCTGAGACAGGGTGTGATCTTGGGGTGGGGGGAACGCCATTACATTTGAGTTAGAACCTGAGGAGGACCAGAGAAGAGAATAACTGTGTACTACTACACTACTACACTGATCCAGTTACCATGACAGCTCAAAGGTTACCCTCATTAAGAATACTCTCAAGTCAATAATGAGAGCTCACCATGAAACAGTTTGTAACAACATAAGTGAAGACACAATGCACAGTGGACAGATTAGATTGTGGGAATTGAAAGTTGTCCTATTTTAGGTTTGAGTTGTTATTGACCTCTATTGTTGACCTGTAAGGCAACCCAGTGAAAGTTAGGGGTATTCAGTTTGAAGGTTTTTACTGTAAGTATCTCCCCTCTGGAGCGTACCGTGCCCTGTGCGTTGTCCCAGGCCCCCAGTGGCCCCCTCCCCCAGTAGCATCTCCTGCAGCAGGCTGTCCACGCTGGGCTCCCCCAGGAGCCTGGCCAGCTGCAGGGTCTCCACCATCTGCCAGGCCACACTCTGCAGGGGGGGCAGCATCAGCAGCAGCTCCCCAAAACGCCCCCGCTGCTCACAAGTGGCCTCGTCCAGCAGCACCTGGGCCTGGAAACGCAGCCGCCGCACTCTCTGAGGGGCCTCCAGCCCTGGGCAGTCTGAGAGACAGGGGGAGAGAGGTAGGGTTAATACTGCAATCAGAGACACAGAGAGATAGATAGATAGAGAGAGAGAGAGAGGGGGGGGGGGGGGGGGGGGTAGTATGAAAGTACACTGCAGTCCTAGCACTAACAGATGTAGGGAGGGACAGGGTACAAGAGTATAAGTTCAAGTTCTATTTGTCACATGCACAAGTAAAGTGAAATGCTTAACTTACCCAACAGTGCAATATTCAATATAAAAAAGTATAACTAATAAGAAACAACAACAACAACAAACATACGAGAAATAAGACATAAAAGAGGAAGCTTTATACAGGGTCAGTGCCAGTACCATATGTACAATACAGGGATACTGGAATAGTTGAGGTAGATATGTACATAAAGGCTGGGATTAGGAGAAAGTGACTGGTAGCAGGATTATAATAATAATAATAATAATAATAATAATAATAATAATAATAATAATAATAATAGCAAACAGCATGGCAGCAGCATAAGTGGTGGGTGGGTGCGTGGTGGTGAGTGTGTGTGTCACGATCGTCTAGGAGTGAAGGAGACCAAAGCGCAGCGCGTTGAACGAACATGACTTTAATTGAAAAAAGCACCGAAATACAAAACAAAAGACGACTCGTGAAGTCCACAGTACAACGACTGAAACACGGAACAATAACCCACAATGCCCACAAGAACACATACAGAATAAATATGGCTCCCAATCAGAGATAACGAGCCGACAGCTGACACTCGTTACCTCCGATTGGGAGTCATATGACTAATCAACATAAAACCCAAACATAGAAATGAACCAACTAGATCCCACATAGAAATACACCCAAAAGAAAATGACAACCCTGGCTCACAACTAAGAGTCCCGGAGCCAGAACGTCACAGTACCCCCCCCCTAAAGGCGCGGACTGCGACCGCGCCTCACAACCCCACAATAGGGGAGGGCTGGGTGGGTGTTGCTCCCCGGAGGCGGTTCCGGCTCCGGGCTTGACCACCACCCCACTATAGTTACTACCCGCTTTCTTAACCTCCTCCCAATGACCACCCTCCACTTAAACCCACCTGGATTAATGGGCAGCACCGGACTAAGAGGCAGCACCAGGCTAAGGGACAGCACCGGACTAAGGGGCAGCACTGGACTAAGGGGCAGCACTGGACTAAGGGGCAGCACCTGACTAAATGGCGGATCCTGGCTGGCTGGCTCTGGCGGATCCTGGCTGGACGGCTCTGGCGGATCCTGGCTGGACGGCTCTGGCGGATCCTGGCTGGACGGCTCATGGCTGGCTGACGGATCTGGCTGCTCATGGCTGGCTGACGGATCTGGCTGCTCATGGCTGGCTGACGGATCTGGCCACTCATGGCTGGCGGAAGGCTCTGGCTGATCCCGTCTGGCGGAAGGCTCTGGCTGCTCCTGTCTGGCGGAAGGCTCTGGCTGATCCGATCTGACGGAAGGCTCTGGCTGCTCCTGTCTGGCGGAAGGCTCTGGCTGATCCTGTCTGGCGGAAGGCTCTGGCTGATCCTGTCTGGCGGAAGGCTCTGGCTGATCCTGTCTGGCGGAAGGCTCTGGCTGATCCTGTCTGGCGGAAGGCTCTGGCTGATCCTGTCTGGCGGAGAGCTCTAGCGGCTCCGGTCTGGCGGACGGCTCTGAAGGCTCATGGCAGACGGGCGGCTTTGTAGGCTCAGTACAGACGGGCAGTTCAGACGGCGTTGGGCAGACGGACAGTTCAGACGGCGTTGGGCAGACGGGCAGTTCAGACGGCTTTGGGCAGACGGGCAGTTCAGGCGCCGTTGGGCAGACGGGCAGTTCAGACGGCGTTGGGCAGACGGGCAGTTCAGACGGTGTTGGGCAGACGGGCAGTTCAGGCGCCGTTGGGCAGACGGGCAGTTCAGACGGCGTTGGGCAGACGGACAGTTCAGACGGCGTTGGGCAGACGGCAGACTCTGGCCGTCTGAGGCGCACCGTAGGCCTGGTGCGTGGTGCCGGAACTGGAGGTACCGGGCTGAGGACACGCATCTCAGGGCTAGTGCGGGGAGAAGCAACAGGGCATGCTTGGCCCTGGGGACGCACCGTAGGCCTGATGCGTGGTGCCGGAACTGGAGGTACCGGGCTGAGGACACGCATCTCAGGGCTAGTGCGGGGAGAAGCAACAGGGCATGCTTGGCCCTGGGGACGCACCGTAGGCCTGATGCGTGGTGCCGGAACTGGAGGTACCGGGCTGAGGACACGCATCTCAGGGCTAGTGCGGGAAGCAGCAACAGGGCATGCTTGGCCCTGGGGACGCACATAAGGCCTAGTGCGGAGAGCAGCAACAGGGCATGCTGGACCCTGGGGACGCACATAAGGCCTAGTGCGGAGAGCAGGAACAGGCCGGGCTGGGCTGGCGACGCGCACCGTATCCCTGGTGCGAGAGGCCGGAACAGGCCGGGCCGGGCTGGCGAAGCGCACCGTATCCCTGGTGCGTGGAGTAGGAACAGGCCGGGCTGGGCTGGCGACGCGCACCGTATCCCTGGTGCGAGTGGCCGGAACAGGCCGGGCCGGGCTGGCGACGCGCACCGTATCCTGGTGCGAGTGGCCGGAACAGGCCGGGCCGGGCTGGCGAAGCGCACCCTATCCCTGGTGCGTGGAGCAGGAACAGGCCGGGCTGGGCTGGCGACACGCACCGCATCCCTGGTGCGAGTGGCCGGAACAGGCCGGGTCGGGCTGGCGTAGCACACCGTGGACCTGGTGCTTGGAGTAGGAACAGGCCGGTCCGTACCGGGAACACACACCACTGGCCTCAACCGAGGATCAGGAACGGGCCGGACCGGACTGGCAACACACATCAGTCCTTCACGCCGTGCCACAAACACTTCCCTCCCTCTACTCGCCAATGGCTCCCGTACTCCGTTAGCCTTCTCTCCTTTTCTCCCTGTGGCAGCCTCCTGCTGCCCAGCCGCCCAAGCCATGTGCCCCCCCCAAAAAACTTTTTGGGGTTGCCTCCCGTCCTTCCGACGATGGCCCTGCCGATGCCGTTGCTCCTCTCCTGCCAGGTTCTCCCCCTTCATCGCCCTCCGGTACCGGACGGCCTCCTCCTGGGTAATATGTCCCCAGCCGAGGAGGACATCCACCAACGTTCTCTCCTGACCCGGCGCCTCCTCCCATGTCCAGACCCTTTGCTCCTGGACGCGCTGCTTGGTCCTTTTGTGGTGGGTTATTCTGTCACGATCGTCTAGGAGTGAAGGAGACCAAAGCGCAGCGCGTTGAACGAACATGACTTTAATTGAAAAAAGCACCGAAATACAAAACAAAAGACGACTCGTGAAGTCCACAGTACAACGACTGAAACACGGAACAATAACCCACAATGCCCACAAGAACACATACAGAATAAATATGGCTCCCAATCAGAGATAACGAGCCGACAGCTGACACTCGTTACCTCCGATTGGGAGTCATATGACTAATCAACATAAAACCCAAACATAGAAATGAACCAACTAGATCCCACATAATAATATAATAATATGCCATTTAGCAGACGCTTTTATCCAAAGCGACTTACAGTCATGCGTGCATACATTTTTGTGTATGGGTGGTCCCGGGGATCGAACCCACTACCTTGGCGTTACAAGCGCCGTGCTCTACCAGCTGAGCTACAGAGGACCACATAGAAATACACCCAAAAGAAAATGACAACCCTGGCTCACAACTAAGAGTCCCGGAGCCAGAACGTCACAGTGTGTATGTGGGTGTTAGTGTGAGTGTGTGTGTGTGCAAGAGTGTCAGTGTAGGCATGATAGATGGATATACATGTAAACGGCTGAAAAGTGACTGGTAGCAGGAATATATAAATACATGTACTTATGGTAATATTCCAATGCTAATATACAGTATACATGTAAACAGGAGTAATAGTGACCAGTAGCAGGATAAATAGATTGATACTAATGGTAATGACAATCAATAATCAATGAACAGCAGCGTAGTGGTAGTAATAAATCTAATCAATATTCATTTTAACAGCAGCGTAGGTGTGAGGGGGAGCAATAGTTGTTAGCCATTTAACAGTCTTATGGCCAGGAGATGGAAGCTGTTTAGGAGTCTATTGGTCTGAGCCTTGATGCACCGATACCGCCTGCCGGACGGGAGCTTGGAGAACAGTCCATGTCTCGGTGGCTGGAGTTGGGCAATTTTTCAGGCCTTTCGCAGACACCGCCTGGCATGTACATCTTGGATGGCTGGGATCTCATCCCCAATGATGCGCTGGGCTGTCCGCACCACCCTCTGTAGGGCCTTCCGGTCGAGGGTGTTGCAGTTGCCATACCAGACAGTGATACAACCAGCAGGATGCTCTTGATGGTGCAGCTGTAAAAACCTAAGGATCTGAGGGGCAATGCCAAATCGTTTCAGCCTTCTGAGGAGAAGAGGTACTGCCGTGTGAGAGGACCATGTTAAGTCCTCAGTGATGTGGACACAGAGGAACTTGAAGCTCTTGACCCTCTCCGCTGTGGCCCCATCGATGTGGATGGGTTTTGAGGGAGAGGTTGTAATCCTGGCACCACGCTTCCAGGTCTCTGACCTCCTCCCGGTAGGCTGTCTCATCGCTGTTGGTGATCAGACCTACCACCGTCGTGTTGTCGGGCAAACTTGATTAATGTTTTGTACACTCAGTGTATACAGCAGTCGTGATAACAGAGGAAACTGTCTTGGGAGGTAGAAGGGTCGGCATTTGACCATCAGGCATTCCAAGACAGGTGAACAATAGGTGGAGACTTCCACTGCGCCAGGGTCTGCACAGTGTGAATAGTTGAATCCATGAAGTTGGATAGCCATGGGGGGTATCTTGTCCGAAACCATGTTTTAGAAAAACAGAGAATATTGCAGTTACGAGAGTCTCGTTGATAGCAAATCTGCGATCGGGGGTAATCCATCTTATTATCATGTGACTGTACATTAGCCAATAGAATGGAGGGAAGTCGTGGCCGGTTTTCCCTTCGCCTTAGTCTCACCAGGATGCCCGCTCTCCTGCCTCTTTTTCACCAGTGTTTCCTCTTGGGTAGCCTGAAGAATTGGTTGGAGGTACACAAAGAGCCCAGGGCAGATGAGTTGAAGTCGAAGTTGAAGCCGGAATTTAGGTTAGTAACTGCCGATCTGATGTTCAAAAGACTTCGTCGATCATAGGAAATTATGAAAGCCAAAAGAATCACAATATAGCAAAGTTGGGTCAGAGCATGCAAGATGGCAGCCATACAGTACGGCGCCATCTTTAAATACAGTGCCTTCGGAAAGTATTCAGACCCCTTGACTTTTTCCACATTTTGTCACGTTACAGCCTTATTCTGAAATTGATTAAATATATAAAAATCCTCAGCAATCTACACACAATACCCCATAATGACAAAGCCAAAACAGGTTTTTAGAAATGTTTGCAAATGTATTAAAAATAAAAAACAGAAATACCTTATTTACATAAGTATTCAGACCCTTTGCTATGAGACTCGAAATTGAGCACAGGTGCATCCTGTTTCCATTTATCATCCTTGAGATGTTTATACAACTTGATTGGAGTCCACGTGTGGTAAATTCAATTGATTGGACATGATTTGGAAAGGCACACACCTGTCTACATAAAGGTCCCACAGTTGACAGTGCATGTCAGAGCAAAAACCAAGCCATGAGGTCGAAGGAATTGTCCGTAGAGCTCCGAGACAGGATTGTGTCGAGGCACAGATCTGGGGAAGGGTACCAAAACATTTCTGCAGCATTGAAGGTCCCCAAGAACACAGTGGCCTCCATCATTCTTAAATGGAAGAAGCATGGAACCATCAAGACTCTTCCTAGAGCTGGCCGCCCGGCCAAACTGAGCAATCGGGGGAGAAGGGCCTTGGTCAGGGAGGTGACCAAGAACCCAATGGTCACTCTGACAGAGCTCTAGAGTTCCTCTGTGGAGATGGGAGAACCTTCCATGAGGACAACCATCTCTGCAGCACTCCACCAGGAAGCCACTCCTCAGTAAAATACACATGACAGGCCTGCTTGGAGTTTGCCAAAAGGCCCCTAAAGACTCTCAGACCATGAGAAACAAGATTCTCTGGTCTAATGAAACCAAGATTGAACTCTTTGGCCTGAATGCCAAGTGTCACGTCTGGAGGAAACCTGGCACCATCCCTACGATAAAGCATGGTGGTGGCAGCATCATGCTGTGGGGATGTTTTTCAGCGGCAGGGACTGGGAGACTAGTCAGGATTGAGGGAAAGATGAACGGAGCAAAGTACAGAGAGATCCTTGTTGAGAACCTGCTCCAGAGCGCTCAGGACCTCAGACTGGGGTGAAGGTTCACCTTCCAACAGGACAACGACCCTAAGCACACAGCCAAGACAATGCAGGAGTGGCTTCGGAACAAGTCTCTGAATGTCCTTGAGTGGCCCAGCCAGAGCCCGGACTAGAATCCCATCGAACATCTCTGGAGAGACCTGAAAATAGCTGAGCAGCAATGCTCCCCATCCAACCTGACAGAGCTTGAGAGCATCTGCTGAGAAGAATGGGAGAAACTCCCCAAATGCAGGTTTTCCAAGCTTGTAGCGTCATACCCAAGAAGACTCAATGCTATAATCGCTGCCAAAGTTGCTTCAACAAAGTACTGAGTAAAATGTCTGAATACTTATGTAAATGTGATATTTCAGTTTTAAATGTTTAATAAATGAGCAAACATTTCTAAAAACCTGTTTTTGCTTTGTCATTATGGGGTATTGTGTGTAAATTGATGAGGGGGAAAAAACGATTTCATCCATTTTAGAATAAGGCTGTAACGTAACAAAATTTGGAAAAGGTCAAGGGGTCTGAATACTTTCCGAATGCACTGTACATGAGAGACACATACATGTACATTATGCTTATACAGAGAGACAGAGTGAAGCCATTGTGAAACAAACAATTCCTATAACACAGCCCTGAGACAGAGAGAATGAATAGGAGATTAAGGGAGACAAATCCTCACACTGCGGCCCTAGGAGAATAGAGAGAGATGGGATTGCTGTGGGGACATTATACAATATACTTTTTTACTAATTGAAATGCATTATGTGTGATAAACTAAACTGAAATTATTAGAGAAAGGTTGGGTAAAGGTAACAGGGCAGGGTCACAGAGGACAGAGCTGAGCACACGTGCAGTGTGTTTATTTCTGTAGGTAGTCAGTCATCTGTGTCAGACTTAGCCTGGTGCTGCTGTGTAATGCTGTGTACTGCTGTGTACTGCTCTGTACTGCTGTGCCAGTTTGGCCAGTCAGTCTGTCAGACCGGTGGCCTGGCTCTGCTGCTGTAATCACCGCCTCAGGCCAACAGGCTGTAAAGTCCAGCAGCCAGTCACCTCTCCATGCCAAGACCAGGACCTCGCCCAGATATTAATAGTTTTCCCCAGAACACGATGAAACCAGACCTCCAGGCCAGGACAAACCAACATGGTGCCAAGGACAGAGCACAGAGGGCAGAGAGAGCAGAGAGAGTCCCAGGAGAGAACAACTGTGAAATAAAAAGATTCCTGGCGAAAGTCTCTTCCTTTGTCTGAGGACAGAGGAGAGGTAAGAAGAGGTGAAGAGGGGGGAGGAGGGGAAGGGGGGTGGCTGGTGGCGACCAAAGGACTGACTGACCAGGAGCGAAGAAGACTATGGTTTTGAGGCAGGCGAACTCGCTGTCAGTGATGTCCAGCTCTCTCAGAGGCCTGACCAGCTCCTCCAGGATCCGGGCTGCCACCCTGGACACCTCCACCTCAGCACCGCTCACTGGGATCACAAAGTAATTACCTGCAAACCCAATCCACATATTAAATACTTACTTATAATGTAAGTTAAGTAAAACCATAAATATAACCTTATACATTAGGTAAGTCTGCTTCCTTTATCAATATAGACATATGGTAAAAGCAGTATAGCTAGTCCACATTACCAGCATCGAAGATAGAGAATATCAAACATTGGGTAAATAATGTATTCATTCTATAACAAAGAAGAGGGCACATCCCAGACGCAGCTGACATCTATATATTTTACCCAGAAGGATAATGTCATTGTAAGGTAGGGAGCGTCGAGCCACCCCTAGGATGAGGTGTTCAGCAGAGTGGGCTCGTAACAGGGATACCTGCACACAGACCAGACACAGCACAGAGACAACACACAGCAGCCATTACACAGACAGCCCTCCCTGCAACATGAGTATCCCAACAGCTAGTGATCCAAAACCCAACACAAAGACAGCTGGGCTGAATGTGACCGCCTGCTTAGACAGGTGCAGCTCACATGTTCAGACAGACACATTAAGTAGGCTAACATCCATAGTTCCATACCCTGTCGTCAACGGGGAGGCTGCAGAACTCGGGGATGCGCTTGGCCCACTGCACCAGCAGGAGGAGCTGCTGCTTCATGGACTCACACACGTCCCCCACGCGCGCTATCTTCTTGGTGTTGATGTCACAGCTCATAGGGGAGGTCAGGGCTGGAAACTGAGAGTGGCACACAATAATGAGAGGTTCCACATTGGCCCTAGGTGTCAGTGTAATGTGAGAATGAAGAGAGGGTTGGAGGAGATGGATGGGGCAGGGTGGAGGGGTGAGATGATGGATGCTTGGACAATCGTGAAGGGCAGAGCATGCAGAGGCAGGTAGGGTATTGGGTGGGGGAAAGGTCACTTCAGAGAATGGTGGTAATAGAGAATATAAGGGTGTAAGATGAGAATTTGGATGTGTGTTGTTGGTGGGTCTGTCTCTGGAACAATGCTGTTGGATGGTGATCAAAGTCCCTTCAGCACACAGCTCATATTGAGGAGACATTGCATGAAAACTAGATCCAAATGGAAAACAGCCCGGCCTCATTTTGTGGTTCATTTGTCAATCATCCAATTAATTTCTGCCGCATTCCTTTCGCATGCAAAGAGGATATCTGGTTGTTATTATGTATTTGAAGCCAATTGAACACTGGCACACAATCCAAACCCAGGCACTGCAATTAAATAGGACTGCTGTAATCAGATGTGAGTCTCTCTGGGCAATTTTGCAATTTCTAAGAAGTAACTGAATCCAGCCTGCAGCTAGAATCTCCAGGGGACCTTAATGGCCGGCCGTCTAAAGTGCAGCCTGTATCCTCTCCATCTCTAGCCCTGCCACTGCTGTGTTTCTGAGAAACAGATAAGGGGCTTTACTCTGGGCTGAATGGGAAATGGAAGCCTCTGGAGCACTTTGTGGTTGTGAATAGGGAGAGGTTTTATAGTGACAGTCTCTTACCTGATACATGCTGGCCTCTGCCTGTAGCAGTACACTGATGGACAGAGTGCCCAGCCCCTGTCCCTCTCCTCTGCGGCTGCTGATGCGGTCCCGCTCGTTCTGCACGGCTGGAAATAAAAGAATAGGAGGGAGGGAGAGACGGTCAGGAAAGTCCCTGGATTTCTTGTGCTCACTGTTTTACTCAGTGGAGGGTTAATGTTGTAATTACAGCATACACCTACACTGAACAAAAATATAAACGCAACATGTAAAGTGTTGGTCCCATGTTTCATGAGCTGAAATAAAAGATCCCAGAAATTTTCCATACGCACAAAAAGCTTATTTCTCTAAAATGTTGTGCACAAATTTGTTTACATCCCTGTTAGTGAGCATTTCTCCTTTGCCAAGATAATCCATCCACCTGACAGGTGTGGCATATCAAGAAGCTGATTAAACAGCATGATCATTACACAGGTGCACCTTGTGCTGGGGACAATACAAGGCCACTCGAAAATGTGCAGTTTTATCACACAACACAATGCCACAGATGCCTCAAGTTTTGAGGGAGCGTGCAATTGGTATGCTGACTGCAGGAATGTCCACCAGAGCTGTTGCCAGATTATTTAATGTTAATTTATCTACCATAAGCCACTTCCAACGTTGTTTTAGAGAATTTGGCCTCACAACCGCAGACCACGTGTACGGCGTCATGTGGGCGAGCGGTTTGCTGATGTCAACGTTGTGAACAGAGTGTCCCATAGTGGCGGTGGGGTTATGGTATGGACAGGCATATGGTACGGACAACGAACACAATTGCGTTTGATCAATGGCGATTTGAATGCACTGAGATACCGTGACGTGTTCCTGAGGCCCATTGTGAGTTTTTTTTTTTGGTATCTGTGACCAACAGATGCATATCTGTATTCCCAGTCATGTGAAATCCATAGATTAGGGCCTAATTTATTCAATTGACTGACTTCCTTATATGAACTGTAACTCAGTAAAATCTTGGTTATACATTTAATTTTGACACTCATCTGTATTGAGACTATTTCAGAGCAAATTCAATTTTGGAATGTTTCCCCCATTGTATGAAAAGTAACATCTCTAATTTTGATTCTGATTCTGCCAACATATTAAACCTGACTATGTAATTATGCAAAGGAAGGCATGACGGGAGGCTGACAGTACAGGGCCTGATGGTTGGGATTGTGTCCGACAGAGGAGACTGTCTCATGGTGACCTCTGTGCCTGTGTCATTACAATGGATGACCTCAGCCTGATTCCAGTCTGCCCCACAAAGTCAGACAACAAGCCCCAGTCTGAGAGCAGTCAGTCACCACAGCTGACCTCTCAGCAGCCAATCAGGACCCTATTAATCAAACTGGAGCTGCAGAGACAGAGAGAGAGAGAGAGACCTCTGCCTTGGAGACATGGCCGTGGGTGATGATGTTACAAATTAGTCCTCCATGGAGCATAAGTGAAGTGATAGATTGGATGTGGCTGTAGACATTCAGCAAGGAGAATAGGAGGAGTACAATTAATGATCGTTGGCAAAAACGGTTTGTTAGAATTTGTTGTCCGGATTAATGTACAATTGAAACACATTAAACCAAAGGCTTATACACCATTTCAAAATGGCATGTTCTGATATTTTGTGGCATAGCTTTGCTTTTTACTAAATGCTATTTGAGTGGTCTGCAAAATTAATATGGCAAATGTTTGAATCCTTCTCCATGACCATCACTAAGGGGGCTCAGCTCAGCTTCAGTTTCTCTCTTATGTAACATTCTCCTGGACCGAGGGCTCAGCAGAGAGAAGCATGTCTCTCTTGAAAAAGCCAGAGCAAATATTTGCCCATGCTCAGCCATGTTAATTATTCATGTGAGGGGCCATTCATGGATCCTCTAATCCCGTCTCTCTCTCCTGGTTATCTGCGGCAGCCAGTGGAAGATAAGGTCTACAGGGCACTGCAAACAGCCACTCACTCAGTATTGCTCAAGAGAGAGGCATGTTGATCTTGTTGCTTTTCCCCCACAGTGAGTGGTGCATACACTCTGGGAAAAAAGGGTTCCGAAAGGGTTCTTCAGCTGTCCCCATAGGAGAACCCTTTTTGGTTCCAGGTAGAACCCTTTTGGGTTCCATGTAGAGGGTTCTACCAGGAACCAAAAAGTGTTCTTCAAAGGGTTCTCCTATGGGAATAGCCAATGAACCCTTTTAGCTTCTAGATAACACTGCACATGGACTTGGTACTGGTAACTGTGTATATAGCCAAGTTATCCTTACTCATTGTTTATTTATTACTCGTGTTATTATCTTTCTATTATTCTGTTGCTTATGAAGCATGTGACAAATAAAATTTGATTTGAGATAGCACCCTTTTTTCTAGGAGTGTAGACTATACCCCACTCAGTACCCCTGCCTCAGCCCCCACTACCCACCACCACCTGACGTGCCTGCCAACCCCAATGCCCCTCTTGGCTATGGCCATGGTTATGCAATGTGGGTAAATATTGTGATTTGTCAACTTGCATATATGCTTATGGCTTTAAAAACAAAATGTTTTGTGTGTGTGTGCGTGTGTGTACTGGCAGGCTTTAAAAATTTATTTTGAATGAATAATGTGGCAATGAGTTGTGTAATTATTATGTAGTGTGGTACCATACAGTATGTAACATCTGTGTCATGATTAAACAACAAACCATCTCTCTCACCTTCCTTTCTCATGCCTGCTCGGAAACATTTCCGAAGCCTGCAGTAACGGCATTGGTTCCTCTTGTCTTTGTCCACAACACATTGCCTGCTGAACCTGCCGACCCACACACACACACACACGCACGCACGCACGCACGCACGCACGCACACACACACACACACACACACACACACACACACACACACACACACACACACACACACACACACACACACACACACACACACACACACACACACACACACACACACACACACACACACAATTAGATACACTTCAATACAAGACAAGAGTTGTAAGATTATGTAACACACAATCAGACACAAGTCTCACACTATGGGCTTCTGTAATTGTGATGGCGTCAGATCAGTGCTGTACAATTTCTGTGTGTGGGCATACACATGTTCAGACAGGCTCCTAACACTTAGTTCTAGACATGTAGCCACCTTTCATAGAAAATTACTTTACCAGAATTGCAGCAACACTTTTTTACCAGCTGCCCTAGTCATTGGCAGTAAATGCGTCTCTGTATTGTAATGTGGGTCGGAGGCGCCTAATAATCATTCCAATGATCTGCAGTTCTAACAGAACCTTGGTTGTATCTCAAATGACACTCTATTTCCCATTTAGCGCCTTATTTTTGTGTCTCAGGTCAAAAGTAGCGCACTATATGGGGATCCAGCCTGGTCTCATAGACTAGACATAACATAGTAAATGTAAACTCAAATTAGTATAATATAGTATGTTACGTTTGGTATGGTTACATAAGACAGATGGTGACTTAAAGTAGGGTGGTTGGGTGGGCATATAACATGAACGACTAGCAACCCATAGGTTGCGAGTTCAAATCTCATCACGGACAGCTTTATCATTTTAGCTAATTAGCAACTTTTCACCTACTTACTACTTTTTAGCTACGTTGTAACTACTTAGCATGTTAGCTAACCCTTCCTCTAACCTTAACCCTTTTAGCTAACACTTCCCCTAACCATAACCCATTTAGCTAACCCTTCCCCTAACCCTAGCCCTTTAACCTAGTCCTAAACTTAACCCTAACCCCTAGCCTAGCTAACGTAACATCTCATATGTTTTGCAAATTCGTAACATATAATATGAATTGTAATTCATAACATATCATACTTAATGGGTGATGGACATCCACAAATGAATACATACCACACAAAACGTAACATATAATACTAAATGGAGTACATACAGAATAATACGAAATGCTCTGAGACCATGTTGGATCAGATCAAAAATAGTGCACTATATTGGGAATAGGGTGTCATTTGAGATGTAGTCCTCTTTTTCAGTGACCTGTGTGGTGATGAGTGTCACCTGCAGGTGTAGGCGTGGTTCTTCCTGACGCTCCTCCTGAAGAAGCCCTTGCAGCCGTCGCAGCTGGACGCACCATAGTGTTTACCTGTGGCCCTGTCTGCACATATGGAACACACACTCCCATTGGTCTGCAGCAGCAGAGGGGCAGGCTCCAGCATCATCAACTCTGTCAATCAATCATAAGAACATTATTGAGATTCATACACTACAGCACACTGGAGGTCTGATGTGTAGCTACTGTATGTGTTGAATTGACTCTTGACACTTGGGGACAGACATGCGAGGATGTCTATTACTGATGACCTCAGGCTAACATTAGGAAGCTTTTGTGATGCACAATGGAATTGTCACGACTTCCTCCGAAGCTGCCTCCTCTCCTTGTTAGGGCAGGCTTCGGTGTTCGTCATCACCGGCCTTCTAGCCGCTGCCGCTCCTCATCTCATCATTCCATTTGTTTTGTCTTGTTTATTACACACACCTGGTTCATATCCCCTCATCAGTACCTGTATAAGTGTTCCCTCTGCCCCCTTGTCTTTGTGTGTGATTGTTTATTGTGGAGGTTAGGTTAGCTTGGTGGAGCGCTTTGTATTTTATATCGCCGGGATATTCACTTGTGTGCCTTGTTGTTTTTCCAGTGCGCCGTATTTCTGCGCTGGAGTGTTTGGCTCATTGCTGCGTACCGCTGTGTTTACAGAATAAACCTTTTATTCTGTGATTTACCCTCCTGCGCCTGACTCCTTCTAAATCACTCACCACAGGAATAGTGTTCTTGTAGGACACTATTCTACTTTTACAGAGGGGCCCCCATTGTTGATGAATAAGTAAACAGCTAATAATCCCCACGAGCGTCTGCAGAGAGCGGATCACTCAGCTGAGAGATTGTCAACGCTGTGTGACAGCAGATAAGCACGTTTACAGAGCGAATAATTAATCAACGCCATCATCAGCTAACGCGATTAATGAATCCCTGTTCATTCCACCTCTGTGAAGGGAAATAATCTTGTACTGCACAGAAAAACACACAACTTTCCAAGGCAGAAATGTGTTGATTGTGAGTTTATAGGGCTGTAAGAACAATGGCAGTGTTGTGTTGTTCCCCAGGTCTGATGAGGTTTGGAGGGGGTAATAAAAGCAGGGTTTTAGGTAGAGATATCACTGCTGTATGTGGCTGCCAGACTCACAGGCCCTCAGAGAACCACTGCTGCTTATTACTCAGAGGAAGAGGAAACTCCCCATTTAATTAAAGCAGATTCAGGTCAGTGGCAAAGCCAAAGTCCACTGGCTAATTTTACACTGGGAGCTCCGTTTTAATTCAATCTCCCTCAATGTTGCTCTAAATTGTGTCCTGTCAGTGTTCGATCGCTGCAGGATTGTCTCTCTTAAAACCACTGACCGTCAAATATACTCTGTTGGTGTAGTGTTTGTGCGGTCGCAGGGACAATGCCCCCAGGCTGTAATGTATTTAAATTGCACACTTAGAGTTGGGAGACTGAGCAGCCAGGGATAACAATTTAACATGGAGAATGCTTTCTGTGGTCAAAGATCAGTTCGATTGAATTAAGAGATTAGAATACATCTGCCACACAGCTATCTGCCTTGGAGAGCAGTCTGCTGGTAAAGCATCTCCTTAAAAGTGCTAAAGAAAGGACCTGATTCAGCAGAACAGACTCAATGATGATAATGATGAGTTCAAATTAGATTATAAGGGAAAACAGTGGAGGAGGGAGAGGGAGGTCTTTAGAACCCTCCCAGTATTGCTGGGAGTAATGACCGTTGTATTCGCAGCATTTTGTGGAATGAGAGCTGATGTCATTGTATCCATGCCATGAGAAAATGGTCCTACAAATTCCTATGTGTATGAGAGCTACATTTTAAAGCCCTGAGAGTACTTTTTAAAACCATGTTCTTCCAAGGGCACTGGGTCTCTTTATGTAAGCCTGGCCTTCTTTCCATCTGAATGGAAAAACACGTTTTAAAAAGCTACCAAGATCTACTGATTAATTTGAACCTATAAAAATGAATGGATATTCAATATTTGAATGTCCTTTGAATATCATACAAAAACCATCCCTCAAATGTCAGACCAGTGTTTTGGTATTGTTGTGCACCAGTCTATGAGTGAAGGACAGACAGGTAAAGGTGTCATTATACCAGACATACCTGTCTCTACAGGAAACACCCTGAGGTTGTCAAACTCCAGCATGGTGTAGGAGGGGTCAAGGGTGGTGCTGTAGTCTGCGGAGTCCAGATCCAGCACGGTCCCTGACAGCTTCATGGTTCTGGTCACTGCTTCAGGAGGCCACACTAGGCCCAAAACAAAAGTCTGATTTATATGAACAAAGGAACCAGAACAGACTGCTGCACAACCTTCCTCTTCAGTTCACCACTCTGTTCCAAAATCACCCACTTTTTCAGCACAATCACTTAAGTCCTCTCTGTGTCTTCCTGATTGTCTAGTTCAGGTAAATCAATGTGTTCTCATTCTGTGTGACGCCGCTATTCCTCCACTCGGTCACAGGCCTCCAAAGTCCTGGTTCCTGTCCTGTGCTGATGTTTTCCTTGGCCCAGTGAATCATGTGTACCTTTTAGATTATTCCTTTTCTCATCCCAGTATTCCTGTCAGGCTGTTCTTACTCAGGTTGTATAACAGAACAAGTCGTCCAGTATGTATTTAGCTGGTAGCTAATGTTCCAGATCAGTGTGATGGATCCCAAACGGCCTTCCAAAGGAGGGAAAGAGAGAGACACTGAGATTTGGCCTACTGTCTGTTTGCGACTCTCTTATCAGAGTAGAGTATAATAAAGGTGAGGGTTCAGATGGAGGCAGGTAAACATGACTCACTGGGAAGAGAAAAAACAGCCGATACAGTCAAGGAGCTACGTTATCTTAATCACTTCAACGGCTGAGGAAAAAAGGGCAGCAAAAACTAAAGTATATGACCAGATCAAAGGTCATCGTTACAGTGTGTTATCAGTTATTGCAGGTCAGCTGAGAATTCAAGGTATTTCAGTACCGCTGATCAATGTTTGATATTTGTAATTTCAGTAGACTACTATGGACAAAAGATGCCAGATTCTCAAGTTTGAGTGTTATTATAACTGGTCGAGAGAGAGTATGCCATATTTCACCACTGGGGGCAGAGTTTGCAAGATCAACCGTCTGCGGGCTTCTTTCTTCACCTTTGCCCATGTGAGGAGCATGCCATCAGCTGTTTGGAGGTATTGATCAGAGGACGAGTGATAACATGTGTTTGCAAATAAAACTATACCTCCCCTGGGCCCCTTTATACAGATAGCGAATGCACCGTAGATAGCCTTTTTCTCTGACTCGTCTCTACATAAAACACAGGTTCAAGCAGTGGAGGGTCATCTATGTCAATCTACAATATAGTGACATTAGTATCTTCACGAAGCCACTTTGTGGTCTATCTACTGTTCTAGTAATGGAGTAACAGAATAATACAAAGCACCATATTAAGAATCATATCATATTGTTTTTAGATTATTAAGAAGAAAATGCCTATTGAGTTTATAATGTGAAACAAAGCAGTGTACAGTAAAGTCCAACATGTATTTTTCACTTTAAGCATCCAAAAATGGACAGAGATCTCATATTAATGTCCTTCATTTTTAATAGAGTAAATTCCCAGACATCTATAAAACTGGACGTCTGGGTTGAAGAAGTAAAAAAATAAGATCTAAGAGTCAAATCCTTTGTGTGCAAGCAATCAATAGTCTGTCTAATATTATAACTGAACAAATTGAGTATGCTAATGTTAACATTACCTCCACATCAGTGGAGGCTGCTGAGGGGAGGACGGCTCATAATAATGTCTGGAATGGAGTCAATGGAATGGTATCAACCACATGGAAACAACGTAGTTGATGTGTTTGATACCATTTCATTGACTCCATTCCAGCCATTATTATGAGCCGTCCTCCCCTCATCAGCCTCCACTGCTCCACGTGGCAGAGACGATATGATGATGACGACAAGTTCATACAGTTTACAGTACATTCAATACACTAGCATACTTCTCAGCTCCCCCACTGACATACCGTAGTCATACTGGGGCCATTTTACCCTCCATGGGCTGGGACACTTCCTGGCCATCTGCAGAGGAGACGGATGTGTGGATCTGCAGAATATTCTGGACCTTCAGTATGTGAGCCATTGTGTGTAGGCTAAAGTATAGGAGAGAGAGAGGAATTTGGAAAGAATGAAAGACATAGAGAAATGTGAACGTGGCCATATGATTTTTACAAATTATAACAAATTATATGTCAGACCACATATGAGCTTTTCCAGGAGCGATATCCATCATGCTTTGGTGTAATGGGATTTCCTGGGTGAGCAGCTCTCCTTCCCTGAATGTCACGCTAGGCCGCAGGTCAGACCTCCCCTGGCAGTGGCTCTCTCTCTCTCACACTGCAGCTTTGTTAAGGTGATTGATATCTCATAAAAACCTGTCAGTCACGGCAGGACGAAGGCAGAATGGTCCTCGGAGCCCTGTAAAATTATATCAGGTCCAGATAAAAAAATATTCTTACATTTAGATTATCTTGCTAAAGCATTATAGTGTTCACAATTTGTATTACACAAAACAAAGAAATGTCTCATATATACAGTACCAGTCAAAAGTTTGGACACACCTACTCATTCAAGGGTTTTTCTTAATTTTTTACTATTTTCTACATTGTAGAATAATAATGAAGACATCAAAACTATGAAATAACACACATGGAATCATGTAGTAACCAAAAAAGTGTTAAACAAATCAAAATATATTTTCTATTTGAGATTCTTCAAATAGCCACCCTTTGCCTTGATGACAGCTTTGCACACTCTTGGCATTCTCTCAACCAGCTTCATGAGGTAGTCACCTGGAATGCTTTTCCAACAGTCTTGAAGGAGTTCCCTGAACTTTTTACAAATTAATAAATAAAAATAAAACATAAATCTATCTTGAGTCAATAAGTATTCAACCACTTTGTTATGGCAAGCCTAAATAAGTTCAAGAGTAAACATTTGCTTAACAAGTCACATAATAAGATGCATGGACAGCAAAAGTGTTGAACATGTTTTCTGAATCACTACTTAATCTCTGTACCCCACACATACAATTATCTGTAAGATCCCTCAGTCGGGCAGTGAATTTCAAACACAGATTCAACCACAAAGACCAGGGAGGTTTTTGCCAAGAAGGGCACCTATTGGTGGATGGGTACAAAAAAACTAAACAGACATTGAATATCCCTTTGAGCATGGTGAAGTTATTAATTACACTTTGGATGATGTATCAATACACCCAGTCACTACAAAGATACAGGCGTCCTTCTTAACTCAGTTGCCGTAGAGGAAGGAAACTGCTCAATAATTTCACCATGAGGCCAATGGTGACTTTAAAATAAGTTACAGGGTTTAATGGCTGTGATAGGAGAAAACTGAGGGTGGATCAACAACATTATAGTTACTCCACAATACTAACCTAATTGACAGAGTGAAAAGAGGGAAGCTTGTACCTAATACAAATATTCAAAAACATGCATCCTGTTTGCAACAAGGCACTAAAGTAATACTGCAAAAAAATTTAGCAAAGCAATTCACTTTTTGTCTTAAATACAAAGTGTTATGTTTGGGGCAAATAAAATACAGCACATTACTGAGTACCACTTTCCATATTTTCAAGCTGCATCATGTTATGGGTATGCTTGTAATCGTTTTTCAGGATAAAAAAGAAATGGAACGGAGCTAAGCAAAGGCAAAATCCAAAAGGAAAGCCTGGTTCAGTCTGCTTTCCACAAGACACTGGGAGATTAATTCACCTTTCAGTAGGACAATAACCTAAAACACAATGCCAAATCTACACTGGAGTTGCTTACCAAGAAGACAGTGATCCTGAGTGGCCGAGTTATAGTTTTGATTTAAATCTACTTGATCTGAAAATGGTTGTCTTGCAATGATCAACAACCAATTTGACAGAGCTTCTAGGCAGAGTTGCAAAGAAAAAGCCATATCTCAGACTGGCCAATAAAAAGAAAAGATGAAGATGGGCAAAAGAACACAGACACTGGACTTCTTTGCAACTCTGCCTAGAAGGTCAGCATCCCGGAGTCGCCTCTTCACTGTTGATGTGGAGACTGGTGTTTTGCGGGTACTATTTAATGAAGCTGCCAGTTGAGGACCTGTGAGGCGGCTGTTTCTCAAACTAGACACTCAAATGTATTTGTCCTCTTGTGCAGTTGTGCACCGGGGCCTCCCACTCCTCTTTCTATTCTGGTTAGAGACAGTTTGCACTGTTCTGTGAAGGGAGTAGTACACAGCGTTGTACGAGATCTTCAGTTTCTTGGCAATTTCTCGCATGGAATAGCCTTCATTTCTCAGAACAAGAATAGACTGACGAGTTTCAGAAGAAAGTTATTTGTTTCTGGCCATTTTGAGCCTGTAATCGAACCCACAATTGCTGATGCTCCAGATACTCAACTAGTCTCAAGAAGGCCAGTTTTATTGCTTCTTTAATCAGCACAACAGTTTTCAGCTGTGCTAACATAATTGCAAAAGGGTTTTCTAATGATAAATTAGCTTTTTAAAATGATAAACTTGGATTAGCAAACACAACGTGCCATTGGAACACAGGACTGATAATGGGCCTCTGGTTGCTGATAATGGGCCTCTGTACGCCTATGTAGATATTCCATAAAAAATCAGCCGTTTCCAGCTACAATAGCCATTTACAACATTAACAATGTCTACACTGTATTTCTGATCAATTTGATGTTATTTTAATGGACAAAAAATTTACTTTTCTATCGAAAACAAGGACATTTCTAAGTGACCCCAAACTTTTGACTTGTGTAATCCCACTGGGCATTGTCTTTTCCATGTTGGTTCAACTTAATTTCATTGAAATGACGTGTAAACAACGTTGATTCAACAAGTGTGTGCACAGTGGGATGTTATCTATAGTAGGCCTGGATAGCAAATCAGTAGCCACATTTGTTTGGATCCATCACATCAACCCAATGTCACAATAAACATACATGTTTTACTATGAAGATAATTATTGCAGTTTAAGATTTTTCATTGGAACTCAACTCAATGCTATGGTCCAATGGAGAGCAGTAGACTACAAAAGGCTGTTCCTCAATCTGACCAGCAGGGAGAGACCGAGTACAGAGTATCAGTCAAGACTCAGCTCTATACAGAGGCCACTGACACACGCAGGCTGAATCTGAAGCTGAATCACACTGACACTCACTGGCTCACACACTTTTGGTTTTGAGGCTTTATACAGCACAGAGAACTATGTCTAAGAGAAAGCGTCTTTACGTGAAGACCAAAGTGTCTTAGGATCCTTGTTCAACATACCCACGTTATATTAGAGAGAGAATTAGGTACTGCCAACTTTACTGATCTATGAGGTGAAACTCTTGTCAAAATCTGTGAATTTACTCTCTACAGGTGTGTTGGAGATAGTTCTGCCTGTCCGTCTATCTGGAGAGAGGTCTGATTGATGAGCTATAGGCAGCAGTATTTCAGGCCCAGGGCCTCTGTAATTTGGGAGGGTAAAGTGTGGAGAGCAGCAGAATTGGTCTTGGCCACAACTCTGCAGAGCCAGTCACACTGTTGAAGCGTAATGCAGGTTGGCTATTAAGCTAGCATAAATAAATAATGTCACCGGCACCTCTAAGTGAGTGGGAGTCTGAAACCTTTACCAGTGCATTTCTAATTTCCTTGTCAGGGTGAGTCAAATTATATCAACTTTGATCTGAATCATTTGCTTGGATGGCTGGCTAAGATGTACAATGC